GGACAGGCGTGTAATATGTTTCCTGGGGTTATTAGGCTGGAAGGAGCCTTGCGGGCAGATGAATGAGATGTTGTGCCATGATGGAATGGAAGGCCACAGACAGATGGCACAGGAGCTAATTCTGAGAGATCTCTTGCTTTATTAAACCCAGCACCTGTCAGACAGGGGAAATGACTTGTGACCTGTGAGGGGCGGGGGAGGGGGCTCTGTAAATATCAGCAGAGGTGAAATGCCCATCTTGAGAAGCTTGTTTCAACTGAAAGGCATCACAGCCACTCTTAGTTTAGGGTAAGTCTTCGAGGAGTTTTCAAAGTTACCAGAAGTGAAAGTGAATGATAGAATGATCACCTACTTGATTGGTCTCTGTCTGAGCCCAGCATGCAGCTGTTTATTTGGAGGTCATTCCGCTCACTGAAGAGCAGGAGAAAATTGGTGGTTTTCGTTAAGGAATCCGGCCTGCAACTTGCAGAGGTTAGCAATGTTAACCTGTACCTGCAACACATGGCTCTGTGCTGAAGAGGGCATGAGATGGGAAGACAAATGTTTGCTGGTACAGCCAAAGCATATAGGGCCTCCTTAAAGAGCACATTCTTCCTCTAAGCTGAAAAGTTATTATTTACCAATTTGTGTGAAAAGAAAGTTATGTATAGTATAGGTGTATATGCATATAAGAAAACTGACCAAAGTTGTATTATCTCTCTTAGAGCCACTCTTTTAGACCATCGAAGTTGTTGTTGCAGTATTGTGTAGGTTTGTATCCCACACTAAGTGTGTGAGACTCAGTCCAATATGACAGTCGGTCCCCACCGAGAAGATTAAATTAAATGTGCTGTCTGTTTCACAATAAGAACAAGTTAATTAATGCTCTTTTCTCTCAAGAAATGGTATATTCTCCTGAAAAGCTTATCATGACTTTTCCGTTGGTGTAGTGTTTTGTTGCTTATCTCTTCTTGGGCGAGACCAAAATAAAAGATTTTTTAAGGGAGACTAATATAATCTAGGAAGGAAAATGCTTTTTTGTTGAAAAGAGAGTCATCCTTGTTGAAAATATTATGGAATGCTTATACAGAAGGAGTCTGAAGCATGAGATATGAACAAGACCTAGTACAGCTGGATCTTTTTTTCCCCTGGTATAATTATTTTCCATCCTCAGGCATTGAGTTTCATGAACAGACTGAATGAGGCTGGGGTCAGCTTCATTAACATGGTTTGCGTAATGAATTGATTGTTGTTTGCCAAGTTGACAGACAACATCTGTGGAGTGAGCTATCTTTCAGGTATTGCTTTTCAGAAAAAAATAGACTTCTACTCTGCAAATTGTAAAGAAAAGGGACAGCCTGCAATCTGGACTTCTGGTAGGCAGTCGTTTTACTGTATTGCGCATCCAGTTTATCAGGTGATCCTTTTACTGTAAGCTTATACAGATCAATACTCCTGTTGTTAAGATGGAAGTATCATACAAAATCTATTGGCAACTTTTAAAATGTTTACAAGTCCTATCACTGTCTTAAATCTGCTTCTTAATCTATACTCAAGTTGTTTGTTTAATGTTTGTTATAATATTGCGTGGTAGACCGATGTTTTTGTGTGAATTTATATTTTTGTGTATGGAATGTACATACTGTCTAATATGTTTCTTAAACATTTCGCTCATTTGAAGTGCTGGGTGTCCTTCACAGTGGGCTGCATGAGCAGAGAGCTGGCCAGAGACAGCTATCCGTTTTATCCTTAAGGTATTTGGGATGGCTGTGTACAGCACTGGCAGTCGAGAATGTTCGTTTTTTCTGCTAGCCTATTTCTTCAATTAGTTTCTGTCATGGTGTGGAAAACCACACCCCCATACAAATGCTATTATTTTTGCAGTCTTTAATTTTAGCCCTTTAGGTTCCCGGCCAAAGCATTTTGATTGAGAGATTTACAGTCTCTCTCTCTGCTAAGCAGAAACGATACAGAAGCAAAGGATAGCAGAGTTAGATTTAATAGAGTGAGGTCTCATCTATCAAACAAGACTGATCAGATGTGCTGTCATCCCCTCTGAAGCCCTTGACCTCCTGTAAAATGCCTCACAGTGAAGTCTAGTAGGCTAAAGAAAATCTTTTTTTTTCTGTGAAATTGGTACATAGTTTCTAGAGGCTTGAACTGCTGTAGACTAGATCACTTGCACTGCTTCTGTTTGGACTCCCTCGATAGCTAGGTGCTTGGCAAGCGAGCTGCCTGTGGAAAATGCAGTGGAGTGACTATATTTCAGTGTTCTCCTCAAAGAGGGTCAAAAAGTGCATTTGTGCCAGTACTTCACAAGTGTCTTGAGACTGTTCTTGGATTCTTGAGGTTCTTGAAACAACCTCATTTTTTACTTGATTTTTTTTATGCATTCATCATTTAAAAAAAACTTAAGAAAACTTCAGGTTAAGTTAAAACCTAGAAATATTACAACAAAACTTGACTGAGAAGTGTAATTTTATTCAGGCCACTGACCTTTCCAATGTCTTTTGTAAATTGGTCCTTTTTCCCCATTCTGTTTTTTTTTAGATGTAACTGTATTGATGTTGTTAGGATTTACTATGTTACTCTTTTGAATGGCTTTATTAACTGTATCCTTTATATGGAGTGTAAATGATTGCAGTTCATGTGACCAAGTGTGTTAATTCTGAGTACTTACTGTTTGGGTTAGTTTTTTATGAAGAGGGTGGTAGCAGTCTGTTTGAACATTGCTCACTGGGTGCTCATTGGTCCAGGACCAATGCTTGAAACTAGACTGACATAGTGGAAAAAGCATAATATCAGAATGCCTTGTTTCAGAATATGAGTACTGTGAAATAACAGGCTTGGTTATTTGTGGTGAAGTTAGTGTTGTAATGGGGGAAAAACTAATGGTGTAATGAATCACAAATGTGATGTTAGTTTCTGAATGTTACGATTCTCAAAGAACACCTGATTTATACTGACACAACAGAGGATGCAGATCTTCTACCCAGTTAGTATTTTTTTCACTTCAAAATCTCATTTACATATGTGCTGATAGACACCTGAATACTTATAGAATTTTTCTGTAGAATCTTGAAATCTTCGCAGTTAGAAATCTGTGTATCCGGAGTACTTGAAATCATAGCTAACATTTTTAATCATGACAGATGATTCTTCCAAGTCGCTTGTCGAGCTCGTTTAGTTGCTAATTGATGCCAGAATCACATCCAAGTTGATTTTTTTTTTAAATTGTGGAGGTTTTTTTTCGATACTTCATTGCCTTTGCAAATTTGCTTTGTGTTCGAGAATCTGACATCAAAACAATAAAAACGTGAAGATGCATATTTTTAATTTCCACGTGTCAATAAAATGAAAATATAAATCAATTTAATTGAGTTTGAAGTAAAAAAAGGAATTAAATATACAGTGTTAGTATACAAAAAAGTTTGAAAATACAGAATACAAAAGTTCACTTCGGCTATATGGTAAGCTTTTCTTTCAGACACGTTTCATCTTTAATTATTATTTTCTATCCTGAATGCTTCGTCTGGCTAGGAGAGATTCTGCACTTTTAGCCCATCAGAGACATTCTGCTCTCTTACCCATAAGTGTATGATATACCTTTGAATTCAGAAATAAATTTTATTGTTTTCTGGAACAGTTTCCTATGCAGAGGTACTGTACATTTATCTGGCACATTGATCTAGATGATCAAAATTATTTTTTCTTAATGCATTATTTGGTAGCATTGTCCTAGAAAGTTTTCAACTGTATGGGCTTTCCACGTTAAATCAGCTTTCATTTTATATTATCTCCACTTTTTTCTGAAATTCATCCTGTAAGTGAAGGGTTTGAAACAAAATGTTGCATTAATATCACAAATGGTTTTTGTTCTTATGTTTTTATGTGGTGTGTTTTTACAGTGCCAAACAAAAGTTTGTAAACTCGTAGGTTAGTATGTATATCACATTGTGGACCTAGTAGATTTTCATGAAAGCTTTAATAACAGATGACGATAGCCTTATTAAATGCACATTACGAAGACATAACAAATATTTGTTTTATTTCATTTATAAAATGATCCAACTTTAAATATCTTTCTGTGAGTAGGTGTGTGAACCCTTAGATTCAGTAACTGAATATTTAAAAATATAAATATGTTTAATACATCTAAATATATATATACTTTTTAAAGATGCTATTTTGGTTTGTTTTTCCGTATGCTTCTCTATAGACTGCTCAGCTAATATATAAGAACAGTTATGCGCTGGAAAAGCTTTTTGTGTTTTAAGAGAAATGATGGAAATGCAGTGTGCTTCTGAGTGCACTAAAAAAATACCTTAAACTAAGATGTTTGTGGACAAGAAGGATGCTGTTCAGTAGAAACTCCTGGGAATCCTGAGAGCACATATCGTTTTTGTTTTGAGGTTTATCCATGTTGTCTTTTTGAAAAGGGGCCCAATATTTTTAAGAGAATTTTTCTAAAACTCGGATATCACAAGAATATCATTAATTCTAGGATGTTAGAATGGGTGTGCACATCTGGGTGGAAGAAACTCCCTTGTCTCAAAAGACAGCTGTAGTTTCGGTTCATAAGGAATCTTTGATTTCTGTCCTTATTGGTTAATGAGGAATTCACTTGAGGATAACTAGTGTGGTTGTTTCTTTTCTATAACTAGCAGTAAGATTATAGGTCTCCTTTTCTCAGTACATGCCAAGGGAGCGTTTGTAACATTTTTTAAGGACTAGTTTTTAAATAGATTTTCACAAACTTGATTTGCCAAGGATAGTTTGAACAAATCTTTTAGTTATAGTTTTGAACTTCTTGAGAGTTTTTCAGCAACTTCTGCTGCACCTTGTCAGACTGTACACAAGCTTTATTATTATTATTATTAAGCTTTGTTGCACACCTTTGTGCTTCACAGCCATGAAATACATCAGACAAAAAAATAGGATATGTTAATGCCTGCTTTTCTGCTTTATTTTGTGTGTCCTGGCCTACCTGACTTTATTGTGTGCGTATTTATCTTTTTCAGGAGGCCTGAGGACCTGTCGGGAGAGATCATTCAGTTTCAGCAGAGAGAGATCACCTTGAAGCAGCAGAACTACTCTGTCACCAGCAGGTATGGATGTTTTGTAAATCACAGAACAGAGCAGTCGGATGAGATTTTGCTGATGGTTTTCCTTGTGGTATGTTTTCAGTGTGAAACAATGTGTTGAATTAAAATCATTCTCGCCCAGCTAGACAATACACTTTAAGCAGTCTTGAAACAAGAGGCCGCAGTGCAGAGGGTGAAGTGGTTTCTTGCTCTTGAAGTGGGCCCTTCAAGAAAACGTGTGCAAGGATTTGGGAAAACAGTACATCACTGGCTTCAGTGTTCCACAGGCTGCTTGCAAGGACAGCGCTCGTATTGTTAGTGTGGTTGAAAAGTCTGCTTTTAATGAGGGAAGTTAAATTATGTTCTTTATATCTAATAAGTCTTAAAAAACATTTCTTTGTTATTTCTGCTTCATTTTTGCACAAAACTGGGCCTGGATGATACAACATGATTACAGCAAATTTAATAGATTTGGTCATGTTGCCCTACGTTAAATCTTCAATTTTCTTGAGAATCATCAAAGTTACCAGTTGGATGAATAGTCTTTTAATTTTTCAGATTTGTTACAACTCCCTCAACTTAGTGTCTCAAAAACCAAAAATGAGATCATGAATTATAGTAAGCATCCTCCAGCTCCTAATCCAGCAGTCAGTGAGGAGCAAGGACAGACATTGTCAGCAGTTACAAACGTCTTGGCACTATTGTCGACTACAAACTAACCTTTGAGGAAAACATGGATGCCATATGTAAGAATTGTTCTTTGAAAGCCCCGCTCTGTTAATGTGTGTGCTAAACGTCTGAGATCCAAACGTGAAGGGTTATGTTTAATAAAGCAGAGCTAAATTGTAGGAATTTAAAGGACAGCCAATAATGTTTTTTTTTAGTGAGAACCCGCAGCAGATTTTTAATTGATCGTTTTCATTCATTTATGGGTATTGATTTATTTTTAATGTGCTCAGAAGGTCCTGTCTTTCTAAACCTGTTGATTTCCTGAAATACATGTGGTAAAGATGCAGTGCTGTGAGCTCGAACCTGCTGGGCTGACATTACTGCGTCCTGGCTTTGTAGATCGATGGCCGTAGACCTTTCCACAGATGCGCAGGATAGCTCTGCCACCGTTAATGGCTTCCTTCAAAAAAGCACTGAACAGCTCCCTTGCAGCGGCCGTGCACAGCGGGGTAAATACTCTAGTAAAGTGTACTTCGCACCAGCTCTTGGTTTGTGTTCAAATGATAATCATTAGGGGAGTTTTAGTGCTCTCGACAGGATTCCATATTGATTGCTATTCCTATTTTCTGCTTGGTTTCTTTACTTAACTCTGTCAGAAGTCCTTTTGTGTTGCCCAAGTTGGCAAATAACAGGCTGCAGGAGAATTAAACCAACAGATCATTTTAATCTACTGTTAACTTCAGCCTCCAGATTTAAGCACTGTGAAGACCCGAATCTTGGATAATGCACTTCTCTAATGATTTACAAAGTCACAATCAGTTTTCTCATATCACCCTTGCAAAATCATGAACAAAACAGCAGGAATATTATATGTTATATAGCCCAAACTCTGTGTTTACTTGTAAGCTTGATTCAATGGTGAGAATAAGATTTTTTTTTTATTTGCACCGTGCTCCTTTTTAAGTCATTTGTCTAAATGTTTGCATATTTTCATGGGAAATATTTTTCATAGGAGGTATAACATTGCTAGGGTTCTTAGGTTTTATACTTGTACTGTATATTGCAAAATGGCATTTTCTAAACCATTGTTTGCTCTTTGTGGAGTTGGTAGACTGCTTGTCCTAAGACATACCTTCCTTACGGTTTTAATTGTCTCCATAAGATGATGGGAATGCTTGTCCATGTATAAAAGATTCTTTTGATTTCTAAAAAAAAGAAAATCAAGATGTCTTAATTGTATGTAAGGTATGAAGTCTGGATGTATGTAGGGACCTTAGTGAAAGTGAGGTGTCAGCTTTAATTGGCCCACTTGAGATCTGTAGTTTGGCAGTATACAGAGTCTTTAATTGCTCTTGGTGGTTAGTTATTAGCCCGGTATGAAAGAGACTGATAAAATGCAAAATATAATGGCTTTGAATTGCACTTTTAAATTCTATAATTTATTGAGTGGAAAAATTGTACCACTTCAAAGATTTTGCATGAATACTGCTGAGTTTGTTTATTTTTTTCTGGTGAAGTGCATATCTTTTAATTAAACTTGGATTTTTTTTTACTTCAGTAATGCAGAATTAAACTGTGTTTAATTTATTACTGTCCTTCAAATCTAGTAAAAATTGCTTAAACACTGAATCATAACATAAACATGTTTGGATGTATGACTTTAACTGCAGTACTGTAGGTGTCAACGTCTGGCACGTTAAATTGAGTGCAGTGCAGTTAAATTGAGGCTTTTCAACTGACTAATTTGCTTAATTCTTATCTTTAAGTGTTTTGTTTATATCATCTAAAATATATATTTCAGGAATGTGTAACATTTTTACAGTCCACATTAGAATACCTGGTCAGTGTTTCAAGTAAAAAATGCACAGAAAAATGAGAGAGCGTGGAACAATTTCATTTTATATGACTTGTATTTCATACTCTGAATACATCTGGTATAATTTAATTTTCATACAATGCATTTCTAAGCTATAACCTGGGAGGTAGGCTTGTTATTTTTAAGGAGATTAAACATATTAACAGTGTCAAAGGAAACATTTTTGCATTTCCTTCTAATGTAGTGTAAAGTACAGTTAATCGAAAGTGGAAGGCATTTCATACTGTTTCGAGGGTTTTATTGCAGGCTGTGTTTAATGCAGAGAAATGCATGACTTAAGCATCACAAGCTAGCCGACTGTGGATGTATGTAAAAATAATGGCTTGGAAGTTTAATAGGCAGTTTAGTAGTGTCTCATAACGTTAGAAGAGGAGGGTAAGCTTTATTGATCTGCAGCACATTTTTTTATTTTCCACCATTAAATGTTATTAGACTGCACTCCTTAAGGCATGAAGTTTATTTGGATCAGCGATGACAGCACTTAATTAAATAAAACAAGTATGTTAAAATAATCTGTGCAGGATACAGTCTTTGTTGTGTGAGTTTCTGCTGACATGGAGATTCGCTCAAGCATCTTCAAACAATTTATAACTGGAAATGGTATACAGGAGGAACATGATAAAAAAATCTAAATAAGCCATGCTGTAGGGGAATTTTCGGAAGGAAACACGACTTATTCGGTTGCGAGTTACTTGCTATTTGATTCAAGGATCTCGTTCAGCTGTTTTTAGTGTCACATAGCATAATGTTTTTTTTTCCCCTGATGGATATTCCACACTTTCACAGGCCTTAGGGAAGGGAAGTGCCTCCTGCTCTTGGGTTGAAATAATAATAATACCTGTTTACCAAATATGCTGATAAGCTGAAGGAACTAAACCTAAGACCATTGTGCCTTAGATTGCATTTAGTTGCTCCTCCAGGACTGATTCCAGAGCAGCAATAGCTTTTCTGAATGGAGTTATATTCAAGTGTTATACCGTTTTAACATAAAAGAACTTTCTTGGATTTAAAATCTACACTCTTAACTATATATCCTAGCATTGTGTTGGCTAACTTGGAACATTTTAATGGGCTGCTGATCTGCAGTGAACACTAACTTTTGAACTTCAGTCAAAAGCTACTGAGTCTTATTTGCAGCTCAATGAGAGTTGGAGGAAGAGATGCAAAATGAAATGCTCTGATTTAAAATGAAATGATTTCCATTTTGAATACAATGCAAAACATTATTTAAAGATATGAAATTAGCTATGATGGTTAGTAGGAATTAAATAAAGCAGTTATTTTTTCCCTTACAGCACCCAGACCTTTTTTGCATTCATCAGTTTTTTCATAATGTTCATATCCCATGAATCAACTTCATTTCCCTCCGAAAGCAGTGACATTTTATTCGCTGCCGCAGTGTGTAAAAATGCAGTCGTTTTCCCTTCTGCAAACAGAGCATGAATGTAACTTTGGATGAGTTGGGTCATAAATGCTCCCAAGTGCAGAGTTGTTTTTTTGCAAGTAACTTTTTCATCCTCATGAGGCTCTTAAGTTTTGAAACAGGTTAGGTAAAAAAGTAGATCCAGATATTGTTAAGATTTAATCTTTGGAAGGTAGTTACCAAATTCTAATTGTTTTCCTGTCTGCTCCTTTTCTCACCCGCATTCCCTTGGTTTAATTTATTAATTTTTTAAAGGAAATAATGTAATAAAGTTCTTACTTTGCCTGTATTGACTGCGTATAGTGACTCCTTTGTATGTTTCATTAGAACTGTAGAACACAACTATATTTGTCATACCTTTTAGATATGACATTCTTGGCGAACAGAAAATGTGCACACACAAAAAAAAAAGCCCTCAAAAAGCCTTCTTATGTCTGTTTTATTTGTTTGTATCCTGAAAGAATACTCAATGAAATAAAGATTGGAGAATCCCTGCTGTTTAGTTTGAGCACAGCTGCTGTGTGACAAAGCTTTTGCGCACTGGTAATGTTGATCTCTGGGGAGAAAAGTTAATATTTAGTCAAGCTGTGTTTTAAATGCTGTAACCATTTTTGCCATTCCTTTTGATTCAGATTTGTACAGCGCACTTTTAAAATGCTAAAACGGACAAGAGCCTAATTTGTGAGTTCGCCTGACTAAGTAAGCAATCCTTCTTGTAAGCAGGAATCGAACCGAATGTTCCTTATTGAAATTTCGAACAGATTTGAGTTTGGGAGAGTCAGTGTATTTGGGATTTAAATGATTCAAGTTTTTAATTTGTGATATTTGAGTTTCGTACGTACTGTAAAAGAGCATTTCTCCTGAGAGGAACTGAGAAGTGCTGCTTGCCTAGAATGTACTTAGCCACCACTGTTGTCGTTTTAGCCTGTTCAAAGGCATGAAATCTTATTCAGTCTTACAGGGGCATCAGAGGTCCCCCAGAACATTTAGACTCTGCAGTGCTCTAGGGTTGACGAAGTGATGATGTCTAAGCCATTGGGTCTCAAAACCAGAGAG